GGGGGCGGGCTGCGCCTCTCGGGCGCCGATTGGGTGGGTGCAGGCGGGGCCCCGCCTCCTCTAGGCCCCGCCTAGGCGGGTGAGCTGCCTCGGGATCACGTCCTCGTCCCGGGCGGTATCTGCGTCTCCCACTTCCCGGGCTTTTCCCGAATCTCCGCTTAAGCCCCGGGGACACCAAAGGCGGTTATCGAACGTCTACTGTGCGTCAGGGTCTGAGCTGGACACTTCCGAACGTCACGGCTACACACCTTACAGGAGAGCGCGCCCAGGCACAAGCACCTGCTCGCAGCCGGTCGGAGCATCCTAGGAACTGATCCTTGCCCGACTCGGAAGGACGCGGTTTCTACCCAAGATCCACTAGCGAGCTTCACCTGCTGTACCTGGGGAGGCAGAGATGTTGAGGCTCCCGGGCGCTCTGTCGAAAAGGCAGGCTTTGGAGCCAGGCACACCTGGTTCAACTTCCAACAGATACTTCTCCCTGCAGTGTGGGCCTGGGCAATTCGGGGGGAACCCACCTGGAAGACGGAAGAATGATACAGACCTGTTATAAGAAATAGAATTCGTAGGTAGCACCTAGTCAAGGACCTGGCTGGGGAGGCACTCTGTGAGTGGTGGTCATTTTTATCTTTCTCAAGCATCGTTGTCCTTATTCATATCCATATTTCATCCGTGCTCAAACTTTTAAAATTCCCGCTACGGGCCATCTGCGCTCGATCTTGTAGATACAGAGATTAATAAATAATCTTTAGTAGATTAAAGCAGATGTTCCCCACTCAGGAAATGACTCCTGGAGCAAAAACTTCATAAACCAAAATGTCAGGGCCTTGCGTCCAGGAAACACTGGCCACTATCTGGCTGTTGGTGGTGAGACAGCCAGGAGTCCCTGAACTAATCAAGTCTAAGTAAAGGCTGTGTCAGGGGCAGGTGAACCATTCCGAGGTGAATTCCTTGATCAAGAACAGGTGCTACCTCTCATTGGCTTTCTTACCTCCTGGGTCCAGGACCACACTTTTATTCATATATTCGTCCATTCAATAAATATTTGAGCAACTACACATAAATAGGAATTTGCTCCCCTGATAACAGGGTCTGGAGCAGAGGAAAATTTCCAGCTCCCCTCAAGTATTTCAGCTTAATTCGTCCAGCCCATATGTGCACCATGCTCCAAAAGTACCTGCCTCCTAAGAAATTGGCACAATAGTAAAATTTTGTTCAACAGCATAGAATGTTTATTCATGAACATTTATAGGACACTATGAGCCAGCCGTGGCCTAGGTTTTGGGGACTCAGGACTGCCAAAGACATCATTTCCCCTCAGTTCACAGCCTGGAGGGGAGCAGAGAAATAGACCGTTACAACGTCTGTTCTATAAACAGTGTGTAACTTGGTGCCTTGGGAACACAGAGGAAGGAGGAACCAACTCTCCAGCTGGCATCATGAGGGCTTCACAAAGGAGATGATATCTGGGCTGGGTCTGGAAGGATGAGCAGTTTTCTGAGCAGAGAAAAGACAAGCCCATTTGGTATAGCTGCAGGAAAATGAGAATCCCAGATTTTGCTCATTTTCATTCGTTCACTCATTTTGTTCCCTCAGCTTGCAAAATCAGTAAGAGGAAAATTGTAAGCAACCTAAGATGGCCAAAAAAAAAAAAAGCGTGGTTAAATCATTGCACTGCAAATGACAGAAAGCTCTTGTCCCTGAGAGCACAAATGAGAAAATCACATTTGCGGAGCATTTTAGAGAGAACCCCTTACTCATATAACCTCACAGCCCTCGAAAGAATGTCCTCCATCCTTTTGCTGGTGAGAACACTGAGACCCAGGGAGGCTCAGTTACCTGTCCAAGCCCACAGTTTATGATTTAGTAGAAGCTAGGGCTTGAACCCAAGACTACCTCCAAAGCCAGTTTTCCTGGTGCTACATCAGAAGAAGTCCCCAGGCCCACAGAGCTGGGGACAAAACCCCAGCCCAGTGCTGGGCCACCAAGGTACTAAGGCCTGATGCCCACTGAGGGTCCACTCTGTGCCTCTCCCTGCCTGGTCTGAAATGCACGCTGTTGTCCCCACGCAGTGCCAGGTACAGGGTGTCAGTAGCCCCTAGACCATCTCAAGTCCCCCCACACGGGCATAAAGACTTCTGTCCCCTTCATGTGTGGATTTAAATTTTAAAAGCAAGTCATAAGCCCCTTGTAATTTACTTCTCATGACAGTTTCATTGTGTTCTGCAGATGGAGCCAGCTAATAAAAACACCCAGCAATTGGAAAGAGAGGGGCCTGGGCAGGCAGGTCAGACTCTGAGGGCTTGGCGGGGGCCCCAGCCCTGACCCTGACATTGGCCTTGGGCAAGGTCTGTAACCCATACTAAGCCTCTAGCTCCTCACCTGTAGCCGAGGTGTAATAACACCCACAATAACTACCACGCTGGGACATTGGGAGACTCACAGCTGGGGGTGAGAGGTGAGTGCCCTGGCACCCCTGCTGGCTCCCCGCCCACTCAGGTCACCAGCCCCTCTCTGAAAGGCACCTGTGCACTGCAGTTATAAATGTAGGCTCTGGAGCCCAGTGGTCTGGTTCAAGTCTTGGCTTTGCTTCTTTTTGCCAAGGCTGTGTACTCTTAGGCAAGTTGCTTGACTTCTCTGGGCCTCAGTTTCCTCATTCCTAAAAGGAGGATGGGAGTACCACCTCATAGGACAGCTGTGAGGGTTATGTGAATGGGAAGGGCTAATAAGAGATTGCTTTCATCTCCAGGGGGTTGGGGGGGTCCGTTTTTATCCAGACCATGCCTATCACCCCAGAGAGAGTCGGGATTGGCCCGAGTTCCTCCAGGATCTCATTCTCCTTTGTCCCCCAAAGGTGAAGAGAGGGCCGGGGCCCTGATCTCATCAATGGCATGTAAGGGACACTGCAGGGGCTTATGAGGTTTTCCTCTCTGACAGGAGAGAGAACAGTGTGGAATGAAAGCCCTGTGGTTCTTTTCCTGTTTGCCCTTCGGGACACAGGGCGGGGACCTGTGGCAGCATCCTGAGACCACAAGGGGAGACCCTGCCCACTGGGTTTCCAGCAGGAATTCCTTCCCACCATTTCTGGGGAAAGTTGTTTTTCCCCATCCCAAACAGAAAAATCAGACAAGACATCGAGACAAAGGGAAAGCATTAAAATTCTCTTGGGAGAATTAAACTTGACCGTCAACATGAAGAAGTTACTGGCTGGAAGGAAACCATTGATCAAGTCAAAAGCAAGGGGAGGGAGTGGTCTCATGTGGAGCTGGAGGGTAAGGCTGGCATTTCAGGAACCAGGGAGGAAGCTCGAGGGAGGGAACCAGCCCCCAAGGAACCAGTCAGTCTGGCTTGTGGCTGCGGCACATCGTGAGTGTTTGCTCTGGGACCTGCCTCTGCCAATGGTGAGTCATTCTTGCGGATGAAATAAATATGAATGAGTTTATACACGCAGTATATGTCAT